GAGACGCTGTATCTGTAAAGTATGACTAATCAATCTTTACCAGCCTGAAGGCTCCATCCTGAACCTTTTGAGGCCCTGTTTAGCTCTGAGCTCTATCGTTTCGTGGTTCTGTTATTTCTAGTGCCTCAGACCTGTGGCAGTTCACAGGGCAGACAATGATTTACAGTGTAAAACACGCCCTGATAATCAGTAGGTTTCATGCTTACCTAAAACCCACACCGATGTCTGTTCTGCATCTGGTTTTATTGTACAGTGTTCACTAAATGGAAAAATAAGCCAGTCCCCAAATAGCTATCATTTCAGAGGCTTCCCCATAATCCACAAAGCTGCTGACTGCCCAGGATTCCATTAGCCTCCAATTGTGTACAGATTTTTCTTATTGGTCCAAACATTTTACCATGGGGAACCAGCTCACGTGATCCGTGTGCCTGTCAGCTGGTACACCGCGATCTGTTGAGAGAAGCCCCATTGAATACAAAAGGCTCCTGGCCAAGGATCGCCCCTCCCCTCCCCTGCCCACAGTTCACAGAGCTGGGTTAGACCTGGAGCTTCACTGCGGAAAGCCTGACCTCTGGGATCGCCTCGTCATTTTGGCACTTCTTCAGTTGTGTATCCCTCCTTACGTGAACCAGCATGTGTGAAAGGCAGTGGGCAGTCTGAAATGCAACACAGTGGAAGTGGACACTGTGGTATCCGGGCTTCCCGCTCAGACCAGCCAGCGCGCTGCCATCCTGCCGCTCACGGCCTGGGAGCCTTTGCCCGCTGAGCTGCCTCCCCTCTTCACTTCTCACCATGGAAATGAGAAGTTGGGACGCATGGTGGTGTCCCTTTGCACTGCCTTCCACCCCGTCCCCAGCAGCTGTTGGCTGACTGACGTCCCCTCCCTCTTGCTGTAGGATTTGTATGGTGCAGGAAGGGAAAGTGTGTCGTTGACATGAGGAAAGAGACGGAGCTGAGAGCCCAGCTTTGTACCCCATCCTGGCCCATCAGAGCCCAGCTGAACCTCTGTTCTTTCCTGTTCCTAACTTGGAGCCTGTAGCAAGCCTTCTGCTCCTTTCAAGCTGCTGGGCCCTGAGACTTGGTTACCGGCTCGAAACGAAGTTTCCGCCAACCTTGAGCTGTTGCGAATCCTCTGCTGACGCAAGCTCCTGTGTGCACTTCATCCGCACACCTGTCCTAGGCTAGGATCAGGGACATGGTGGCCTCACACACTGGGCTTTCTTGTTAGCATCTGGTACACAGGTACCCGGGGGGTAATCTTAACACTGGGTGCACTGAGGGAGGCAGTATTAACTCGCTTTGTGTTCCAGCAGCTGCTTCTGGGGTTCTTGTGTTTAATGACAGGTTGAAAGAATTGGACAATTGAGAGATTGATTTTTCAGCAATGTTTCATGAGTTGATTTTTCCCTTGGTGCTTCCCCCAAGCTGTTCTTCCCTTTCTTTTAGTGCTGCTGTCATCACTTTCCTGCAGGGCCTCATTTCATTTTCCCAGCCCCTTTTTTCAGCAGACTTACGCTCTGGCTTGAGAACAAGAGCACAGGAACTGTCTAGTTATCTGCTGATCAAGCAGCTTGAGGAACTAGTTGACTAGGCCTTTGACTAACTTTGTGGACAAGAACAAGCTCGTTCTTCCAAACCTTGGTGTTCTGTGTTTGTAGTTTTGAACCAGTCACAGAGGGACTTGGGTCACGGGTGCTTATCCATGGCCACACACTATCAGCTCCCTTCCCGAGTCTGCCCCATAATACAATCATGCCCAAGTCAGCATGGGTCTGAAGTGTTAGCCTTATAACCACCTGACTGCTTCCTTTCTCAGTTTAGGCATTTGTTGTTTTCCTTTGGAAAATGTTGAATTGTGATGCGGAGTACTTGAGCTGACAAATGCATTGCTCGGATTTTAGATGTGGAGGCAACAGGGTATGTCTTAGGCTCTCGTAGTAGACTGGAATTCCCACTCGGTACCAGTGTATGCCAGATAAAAAAGGGAAATGTTGCACATGAAAGAACATAGCCTCTTGATTATCATACTTTAAAGTACATGAGATTCATTATAAGCCTAATTCGAATTCAGTGAATGCTGTCAACAGATTGTATGATGGGTCGTTTTCACTGTGGGGTGTAAAAGAATCACCAAGAAAGTTGACAGGCAAAGCATATTAGAAAATAATCTTATAAATTTGATTAAAGATGCTCACAAAGTCACCTGATTCAGAAATAGTGTTTGCTATACATTCAGTGACCTGGGAAGTCTTAGGCATTCCCCAAGAAAACTTAATAAAGATGAACAGCTAAAAAAGAAAGAGAGAGAGAAAGGATCTTGATGCTTTTTGGTAAAAAGACCGTCTAAGTATTTGAATTAAACCTGTCCCTTAAAAGGGCATTTTTAACCAAAAGCTAGCCAATGCTGTTAGCAAGTACATGGATCCATTATTCACATGATCTCAGGAGTGAAGGCAGGGGGCTCTTGTCCGCTCTTCCATAAAGGCCCCATAAAGACCCTGGACAGCCACCGTGGAGTGCCATTGACCAATGAAATAAGTGCACGTCTCTTCCCTGTAGGATCAAAATGGAGAGGGAGCCTGGAAGTCCTTAGTCTGTTAACACATACCGACTATCCTCTGAGCCACTCACCTTCTGTTGCTAAGCCCTAGCTCTATAAGCAACTATTGGAAGCACTTAGAGACAAATTTGCCAGAAGCTATGAAGATCACTGGCTACAATTAAACAATTTGCCTACACAGTTAGATTGCCAGGTGTTTGATCAGAGAATCTGGAAAAGAGGAGGCTTTTTCTCTCCCTAGTTACAAAGACTTCATTGCTTCAAACTCTAGATCAGTCCTGTCAGATCTACCATGCATGCCCCAAGTATAATTTTAAATTTCTAGTAACTAAGTTGAGAAATAAGTGAAATTAATTTAGTAATATATTTTTTTCCAGCCATATGTAGGCATTAGTTCGCAAATCCTATTGGTGTTACCCATGCTTGGGAGAGTCTGATAAAGGTTGGAGCCTCCCCAGAAAGTGGTAGCTATTCACAGACACAGGAAAATGCACCGATCTTCAAGGGCCTCATGGATTGCCCCTTAAGCCTATCCTTGGACCACTAAAGAGTCCAAGAACCCCAGAGTAAGAGCCTGTGTTCTAAGGAATCTTTATGCACTCTTTATCTTCCCCTATCCAAAAAGGTGGAGAAAACACGATAAACAGGGGTATCAGGAAAAGGACCTGTTCCAGTATGCTCTCCAATCCTGAAATTTGCAGTTTCAGAAGCAAAGTCATCTCTGGCTTAACAGAGGCCAGAGCGAGACCTGTGTGTAAAATATATTATCACAGCATGTCTCAATAAACATGTGCATGTTTTAGAAACTGATATATTTATTTATAGGAAAAACATGGCTAGCTTATTATGGTACAAGCTTAAAGGAAAATATTTATTGAAAATAATACATATGTTAAAGAATGAGGCACTCACTACTAACCCATTCAGGTACCCGCCCTTACGTTTGCTCTTTATATTCCCTAGCTTCTAGATAACTTATCATCATCCAGATAAAATCTTCACATTTCACATTTGTCTTCAAAGGGTTGCATGTGTCAGAAGACTGATTTTGAATCTCTGACTCTAGTGTCTTTGACTCTTCAGAGCATTTTTCTCTCTTCTGTTAGATTCCGAAGTTCCATTTATGTTGCTCAGATGTGTATTGGCCTTCATGCCACCATGTTGAGTTTCCTTTTATATCCTCTGTAAGTCTTGATGAGCAATACTATGATAGAGAGATTGCTTCATGGTAAAACTACGAGTGCTGGCATCAGACCTGAGTTTCCTGGCTTGGCTCGGTGACTTTTGATGCTATCATCCTGGGCCACTTGTCCTCGCTACCTTCTGTTTTCTCATCTGTAAAAATGGAGACCATATCTTCAGGATTAACAGGATCGCAAGCTATATTAGATTGTGAGGGCAGCAATTGTAAGGTGCCACTGACTGGGGGACTTCCAACAGCAGAAACGTATTCTCTTGCAGTTCTGAGGACTTGACATCTGATAGCAAGGTGCTGGCAGGTTGGTTTCCTCCGAGGCCTCTCTCTCTCCGGGGCCTGTAGGTGGCTGCCTTCTTTCTGTGTGTGCCTGTGTCCTAATCTCGTCTTCTTATAAGGTCACCAGTCATATGGGATTGGGCCCTACCCTAATCACCTCATTTTACTTAATTACCTGATTAAGGACCTTTTCTCCAAATACAGTCACATTATGTGGCACTGGGGCTTAGGCCTTTAACATATGAATTTGGGGGAGGACACAGTTCAGCCATAATACAACTGTATAGGGGCGCCTGGGTGGCTCAGTTGGTTAAGCGTCTGCCTTTGGCTCAGGTCATGATCCCGGGGTCCTGGGATCGAGCCCCGCATCGGGCTCCCTGCTTCTCCCTTTCCCTCTGCTACTCCCCCTGCTTGTGTTCTCTCTCTGTCAAATAAATTAATAAAATCTTTAAAAAAAAAAATACAACTGTATAGTGCCTGACCACCCCTAGGTACAGTGAGCCTTATTATCATCTGCCTCACCATCATTTAAACTTACAGACCTTTAATGGAACCCCGCGTCTCTGTACACTCTCAGATACACTAGAACTATTTAAGCAGACAACCCAGCATTATGACTGGCTTACCCTGTCCTCTGTTAGCAGGCATGAGGCCATTGCTTCCCTCTGCTCCAAGTTCAGGATGTTATAAATATTGAAAATGACTCCTCCTTGTGTCTCTGTGATACTTGCCCCCCCCCGCCCCCATCTTCTCACACAGTGCCAGGGTTCTTTTATCTGTATGTGGAAATGTGCTCACCTGCTGATTCTAAACTCAGTCATTGCCTTCGTCTTCAAATCACTGGTCCCAGCTGGCTTCTCTTCTCCAGCTTGTTTTCTGAGTCTCTGGCAGCCGCCACTGTGCCTCGATTTGAAAACTGCCCTTGTCCTCTGAGCGAGTATCACCCAAGGCCTCAGGTGAGTCCATATGGCCTCCTCCCCCTGCCCTGAGCCCTGGAGCCAAGGAGGCTCAGAGGGCCTGCAGGGGGAGCTTGTCCTGCATCAGTGCCTCCGAGGGGCAGTGATCAGGCCCCCGGTGGCATCCCAGGTACTGTGGCCCATGCAGTTCACGCCAGGCTCTTCCTAGTTCCCGGTCTGAGTGTCCCCAGAGAAGCAGCCCGAGGAGCTCGTGTCCCCAGGCAACCAAGCAGCCTCCTGAGCACTCCTTTGTGCCCTTGTTTTTCTCTTTCAGCCGCAGCACTGTAGCTCCGTGAGTGCAGCCTGGGAGCCCGAGCAGCCGCCACGGCAGCAGAGTGCGACCTGCAGCAAAGCTGATCACCGACGGAGACGGAGCGAACATGTGTGCATGTGTGTACGCGTGTGCGGGGGAAGGAGTGGTGTGCCTGTTTGCGTGTGCATGCATCTGTTTACACTCTTGTGATTCTGATCACTGCTTGGGCTGGAGGAGTACATGTAGCAGCTTCGCCTCAGCCTCCAGACACGAGGCTGAAGGTCATGGCAGTGACTTTCAGCCAGACCTGCCCCTGGGAGCCAGCTGCCTTGTCCAAATAGAAGAGTAGTGGGACCCTAGCTGGGATTCTGGCATCTGCCCCACCCCACCCCATCCCTCTCTCATCACAGCAGACTGAGGAGCAGGAGGGCAACATTGCTGGCTTCTGTCCAGAGCATAGGATTCTAGAAGCAGCCAGGGCCCTGCAGTGTTCCTGCTTTATGACATGGGAGGCTGGGCAGGCTGGAGGGGACAGATGCTGTCCAGATACAATCACCTGGTCTGGCTTCTTCCTTATTTTAAAATTTCCTGCCACTGGGTCCTCCAGAGCCCTCTCAGGCATCTGGGACTGAGCGTGAGGCTGTAAACAGATCTGAAAACTTGCCACCATCATAGGGAGGTACACCCAGATATCTGACTAGTGTGCCGTGTACACAGTACTGTAGACGCCAGCCTAAAAAGTGCATCCACCTTTCTGGGGCTGAAAACCTCAGGTTAGGAATTGAATCCCAGCTTTTACTGTTCCTTCCTCAGAAGCTGAGCGCCAGCCTCAGCGCTGACTGTGGAGACTCAGTGCCTCCACCTGGAAGAAGCCAGGTTCGGGTGGCAGAAAGCCCCCTGGCTCCCCTGGCCGCACTGCAGCACCGCCACTGAGGTCAGCTGACACCCAGCCGGGAAAGCCATTCTGTCCCGTGGTCTGTAGGCTTCTGGGGCCTGCCTGGGACTGATCAGCATCCAAGCTGCCATATCAGCTCTCCCAGTAGCTGGACACCAAGGACCCCGGCAGGTGCACTCGGGTGGGAACTGCCAGGACAGTTGGGAAATGTCCGAGTAGAGATCTCACCCAGCACACCAACCCTTCCAGAAGCAGCAGGTGGGAGGTTTGACCCAGAGAAGCCAAGGCCTTGCATTCCAGGAGTGGCCTAGCCTCCCACCTCGACCCTCCCACTGTCGAAGGCCTATGTTGAGAAAGACATAATGAAAAGGACTGTGTGGTCAGCTAGAGCAAGTCTTCCTTCCACCCTGTGGCCTGCACTTGAGCCACAAAGTGTGTGTGTGTGTGTGTGCGCACACGTGCATGCGTGTGTGTACGTACAGGTGCGTGTGTAACTGAGAGGCTAATTGCTCTTTGGATTTTTGTCCTCATGTGTAACATTAAGCTGGCCTCTGGGCCTTTTCCTCTCTACCTCCCCTGTGACCTTTCCCTAGCCTCATAGCTGTTAACTGCCCTGGCCCTTGCCCTGTCCCTCGTTGTTCTTCTCTGTCCTCGGACCAGAACCCTGGGGTCAGGCCTCTGTTCCCTCAGCTGTCCAGCACCTTGACAGGCTTCTTCCTGAGATGTCCTCAGGTTTTCTCAGCCAGAGAGCTGCTTTAGAGTCCAACTGTTGTATGTATGTCACCCCCACTAGAAATGTCCCGTAATCATGTGGGGGAAGCAGGGCACGGGTGATGGTGTCTTTTCAGAGCATTGAGTTGGGGTCTTCCCTGTTCCCCTAGCCCCAGCCAGAAAGAAAGAGAATTGGGGGCTGTTGCCAGAAGAGGAGGAGAGCGAGTCTGGAAGGGCTATTTTGAGAAACTGAGAATGCCAGAGGGCTTGAGGCCAGAGTCAGGATTTGTTTAGCAGCACCTGCAAATACCAGGATGTTTCCCTTTTCCTGCCTATTAGATGATGGCCCTTTTCCCTGAGGTACAAGTTGGCGGGACCACCTCCCCCTCCTTCACCATCCCTGGCAAGCTGGCCCATTCCCAGTGGAATAGAGCAGTCCACTCCTGGAGCTGAGAGGGTGGGGGTAAGGGGGGGGTGCATCCAGTGGCCCAGAGCTCCACGATGGCTTCATGCCTCCCCTCTCCTGGCCCAGGTGTCCCCGGGGCTGCCACAGAACATTGACCCAAATCCTAATCCAAGGGCCAGCATGGGGAAGAGATGGTCGCAGGCAAAATGCACTTTATACAGAGATTTTCTTATTACTGGGAAGGTGTGTTTCTCCCACAGTTTGTGAATATTCACTTGTTTCATAAATGTCTGATCCTGTCTGAGCAAAGCTGTGTTGTCGTCAATCTTGTGGGAGGTCTGGGAAGGAGTCGGTAAGGCTGAGCCTGAATGAAGCCTTATGCCAGACCATCTTGGTTCTGCTGGAACCAGGAGTTTCTCACCTCTCCTCAGACTCAGCAGGGAGGAGAGTGATGGATAGAGATGGAGGAAGCAGGAGGCTCCTAGGTGAGCAGGCAGGACAGACTAATGGCAGCTCCAGAGCTTGGCCAGAGTTGGGGGGGGGGGGGCGGTTAGTCATCAGAATGGTACAGAGCACTCCAGGCCCAGGATGAGGTTCCTGAGTGCTATCCTGCAGTGACTCAGCCTCTTGGGCCACCTAAAGCCCCAGGGCTGACCTCAGTCAGCGGCAGGGTTCTCTCCAGGCCCTCAAGCCATCCTTTATCTCGACTCAGCCACTTGAGCACTGTGTGGTGTGGAGGGGATGCAAGCGGCAAGCACTGCCTCTAGCTAGGTCCTGGAGATCTGCCCACAGCCAAGCCCAGGGCCTGGATGCTGGCTTTGTCTCATGGCATCTGGCCAGAGAGTTGCCTCTTTCTGCAGTGTATATGGGCTTTTCTACAATGGTTTCTAGCCTTGGATCCCTGGAAGAGTTTTGTTAGCTCATACCACACCCCAACTTCATGTGGGCAGGGGCTCAGACAGGGCCCAAGAATGCACAAACTGCCCTGCACAGAGTGAGAAAGGGGGGAAAGGGAGGAACTTGGTGCTGGGATTCATCTCATTCTTAGCTCTGCTTTGAAGCTCCTTCCCACCAAGACCTGGACCTGTCCTTCCCTCTCCCGTCTCCTGGCTTCTCTCTAATGTGGCTTTGGCTTGGCCTCAGGAGCTACAATAGCTTTGTTCTTAAGCAGAAGATTCTGGAAAATGGAGTTGTCTTACACACACACTCTTGACCTGAGGATGCTCCTAGTTGAGGCAAGCACACACTCTTAAGCAACAATTATTAGCCTCAGTGGCAAGACTGCTTTCCTGGGAGCAAAAGCCAGGCCTCTGAGCAGAAGGTGGTTACTGTTTGGTCCTAGTGAAAGGAGGCTGAGGGCGCTGGGGTGGCTCAGTTGGTTAAGCGACAGCCTTCGGCTCAGGTCATGATCCTGGAGTCCCGGGATCGAGTCCCACGGCGAGCTCCCTGCTCAGCGGGGGCTCTGCTTCTCCCTCTGACTTTCCCCCCCTCTCACGCTCTCTCTCTCTCTCTCTCACACACACATAAATAAATAGAATCTTAAAAAAAAAAAAGGCTGAGCCAGGATAGCAGGAAAGGTAAAGTGGCCACTCCTCTGGGCCCACAGGCAGGGAGAAGAGCCTTTGGCACTAGGTAATAGGATGTTCTCAGGGCTGGAGGTGGGGAGCTGTTTCCTGAAGGGCAGGTGCCTGCAGCTCCTTTCTGGGTGCTACATTGAAGGAAAAGGGGGTGACATCAGTAAGCAGTCCAGATTTGCAAATAGGATCCCAGAAGCTGTGAAACAGTTTGTTCTGCCCCTTCTTCAGAGAGAGGTAAGGACAAGCCTCTGCAGTTCTCAGGAGGCCAGAGAGACCAGTGAGGTTTGGTCGGAGGCTCTTGACCCACCAAAGCTGGGGCCCTAGCCCTGGCCAGCAGTTTGAGTGTCCAGTAGTCTATGTTCTGTAGAAGAACTCACGGGCTTAGCCCTCTTAGGGGATAGACCAGAAGGGACCCATGGCCAAAACTGGCAGAGGTTAGACGTCTGGAGGGAACAGAAAAACCGCAAGAAGAATCCCAAGAAGTCAACTATGGCAGCAGGAATAAAGGCTGGCTCCTAGTCCTCGAATGTGAGAAGCCAGCCATGGGGTGTCTGTGGGTGCAAAAGAGAGGTGCTCTGCAGGACATGCAATTGAGGTGCTAAGTGAGAAGTGAGAGAAATCTGGGAAAGTCCTGGTGTGAGGGAGGAGAAACTGAGAGAAGCCAAGAGGAAGGGTTCAGTTCACCATTAATAGATGTTCAGGGCTGAAGGGGAGCTTGGGTCAATCTTAGCGAGAAGACCCTCTAGGGAAAGACCATGAGAGGGTCCCTCAAGTGAGACCTGGATCCTAGCAGGAGGTGGAGTGTTCCCTGCTTCCAGTGACAACATACTTGTATCACTTTTCATCCTCACCACAACCATGAGAGGGACCGTTATTGTCCCCATTTCACAGATGAGAAAATCAAACTTAAGACTGTGAAGTCACTAATGCAAGGCCACACCACCTATTCACTTGGGAAGCCAGGCTTCACACCACCTGACTCCAAACCTGGCTTGCTCTAGCCCACACCCGACACCATCTCGCTTTTCTCTGCCTTCCTCCAATGACCCTCCTTTCCTGTCCGCCTTCTTTGTCTGCTGCTGGGGACCAACTAGGGCCCTGGGGACCAGGGTCCCGCCATCAATTCCCTTATACCCGGGCTCTAGGCCCACCCGAGGGGCAGAACCCGCAGGACACGAGGACCTTGCCGGATGGGGAAGAGGGCAGAGTCGTCAGTGTGGGACTCAGAGCCGGGCTGGGCCAGCCCAGGGGCCGCTGCGCCGCCACTTCAGCACCTCGGAGAGCGCCGGCGGGGCGGGGCTCGCGGGGCCGGGGGCGGGGCGGGGGCGGAGCGTACGAGACCCCGGCGACGGCGCGGGGGCGCGCGGCGGAGCTCGCGCTAGTCCCGAGAGCGGCGCGCGGTCCGGAGCCGCGCCCTGCCCTGCGCAGGTGCGCCCGCCGCGCCCGCCCCAGCCGAGCCCCGCGGCGGCGGCGGCCTTTCGCCGCGCCCCCGCCTCTTTCCCCTCCGCCGCCGCCGCCTTCGCCGCCGCCGCCTCTGCGCCGCGCTCCGCCCGGATGGCCAGGGCTGTGCCGGAGAATGGCGGAGCGAGAGAGCGGCGGCCTGAGCGGGGGGGCCGCGTCCCCGCCTGCCGCCTCCCCGTTCCTGGGGCTGCACATCGCGTCGCCGCCCAATTTCAGGTGAGAGTCCCCGGCCGCCGCGCCCCGCCCTTCAGCCCGGGCCGATCTGCTCCGGCTTCCGCGCCGCCCCCGGCCCCCAGCTCCCAACACACACACCCACACCCACCCCCACACACACACCGATCCCGAGAACGAGAGGGCGGCGTGGGGATGGGGTCTCCTCCCTGGACAGAGTCCCCAGAAACCCCCCTCAGCCTCAAGTCCAGGCTGATAGCCGCTGCATAGCCAGTGGTGCAGCTCCCTCCGCCATTCCATGTCCTAGCCTAGGAGATTCCGAGCTGGAATTGGAGGAGGGGGCGCTCAAGCCGTCTTCTCCCCGACTCTGGGACTGCGGCAGGGCCTGGGGTCTCGACTGAGATCCCGGAGGAGGCAGGCAGGCTAAGGCTTTGCTTATGCCCAGTCCGAAAGCTTCTGAATAGAGATGGGAGCAGGCTGGGGTGCCTCGTGGGTCCCAGTTTCACAGGGCAACTGACAACCTTGGTGCTGGAAGGAGGAAGTCGTGGACCCCTCCCCCAGCCCTGTCTGGTCAGAGGGGCCTAACTCCCAAGACTGGCATGGCCAGGACGCTCTGTGGATTTGAGCAGGCACTGACCTGGTCAGGTGTGTGCAGGTGCAGAAGGCTCAGACTCAACCAGGAGACTCCACGCCCAGTTCTGGTTGGGGAAGTCTGGTTTGGACAGCCCAGGAGTAGCCAAGGACATTGGGTGGAAGGTTTTCCTGCTGGAGCAAGTACCCAGGACCATGCTCTCAGCTCCCCTTCACCCCACTCTCTGCCCACTATCTGGTATTGGAAGGTGGATTTTAGAGAAGTGGACAGTGGATGTTGTGGGGAAGGGATGGGTATCCCTCCATCATAATCCTGGCCCCGTTTGGAGAGGAGGAAGAGGAGGGTGTAACTGCTGCAGAGCCTAAGAGGAGGCCTAGACTTACCCCATTGTTTCTCCATCTAATGAACTGGCGCCTTCCCCTCTCCTGGGCCCCTCACCCCAGCCAGGCCCCAGCTGGGCTCTGGCGCCAGCCCCTCTCTGACCAAGGGGTTGCTGGCTCCCTGGCCCTCAGGTGGGTAGGGACCCCTGGGGATCTCTAATGGCATCATCAGCACTGGAAACCTCCCTTGAGGCCCTGAGCTGAGGAGCTGGGAAGAAGAGAGGGAGGGGAGATGGAGGAGTCCAAGCGTGAGGGCTCTGGGACTGGGGCCTTTGTGGTTGGTGCCTTTGGGTCATGAGGCTGAGGTCTGAGACCGGTTCCCCCTGGCATGACCCGCAATGCCGAGAGGCAAATATTGTCTGCCTACCAGGAGGCCCCTCTGCAGTGGAACTGCTTAGAAGAACCTGGGTTCAAATTTGAGCTCCACCGCTTTCTAGCTGAGTGACCCGCCAGTCCCATCTGTCAGGTGAGCTAATTAATATTGATTCCTTAGTGTGCATCAAGTCGGTGTTCAACAAGTGTCCGCCCTCCATGCTGGTGAGCATTTATATAGCTCATTACTGTTCAGAGCATTCCCAGTGCAGGCTCATTTACCCTCATGGGCGTGGGTATCGGTCTGCCCATTTTGTAGATGACAAGATTGAGGTTCAGTAAGGCAGTGGCTTGCCTGAGGGCCCCTGAGGAAGTCAGAGCCTGGGGCTGTCTGTGTGTGTTCTGGCCACTCAGCCTCCAGGCCCTGTCTCGGGCCCAAAGGACAGCCTTGCCTCCCTCTACCTGCTTCCAGATCCCCAGTGACGGTGCAGGTTATCATGGATGCTTTAGTGAGGGGAACCGATGAAGTGGACACCAGCCAGGGAGAGTGTTCTATCGGGGCCAGGTGGGTGAGAACAGCAGCGCACCAAGGCTAAGGCATGGGCCAGCCCTCCAGGACACTGTGGCCTGGCTGTGGGGACAAGGCCAGCTTCTGGGAATAATAAGGGCAGTGTCTCCAGCCCCACATGGCCCGCCCTGCCTGCTCCAGCAGCCCCCGCTGACCTTTCCCTTGTCCTGCCCTGCACAGCCCTTCGCCCAGCTCGGGTTAACCCTGGGTGGTTACTGCTCTCTCACGGCTCTTTGGTGGGGTCATGGATCCCACTGGCCCGGGTTTGCAGTCTGGCTCAGCCTTCCTAGCTGTGTGCCCCAAGACTGGGCACTTAACCCCCTGAGCCCCCATTTCTTCTCTACGATGCCAGGGTTGGCTCCTGCTCAGGACGGTCCTGGGACCTGGATGGGACAGCATGTATTGGCTGTTTCGAGGGCTGTGGTTGTTACTACGTGTGCGTCCCCTGCACCACTGTCCACTTCCAGAAGGCAGAGGACACAATACCTAAACTTTGGTTTGCGCAGTGTCCAGCACGGAGTCGGTGCTCAAGAATGCCTTACTGGTTGATTATGCAGGATCAGGTGTGCGAAGGCCTCCTGGAGGTCAGAGAGTAACAGACTCTGCTGTCAGAGGATAAGGAGGGGACGCGCCAGTCCCCGGGAGGCGCTCACTTTGCCCAGCGCCCCTCCAAGGGCTTTCTATGCAAGAGCGTTTCGTCCTCACCAGAGCCATATAAACAGAGCGTTACTATTATCCCCACTTTGCAGATGAGGAAACTGAGGCCTCCAGAGGCTAGGTAAGTGGCAGAGCTGGGGTTTGGATGCAGGTAGTCTGATTTCGGAGCCACCCTGAAAAGAGAGCCTGGAACTAGTCGGGGAGAGTGTGTGCAGGGGGTAAGCACACTGTGGATGAGGAGGCTGGAGAGAGAGCGTCCGTTTGTTGCTAGTTGGTTTAAATAGATGGGTGTTCTTCCCCCCCCCCCTTCTGATGATAGAAATGCTCCAGTCAGTTACCTGTTGTTGTAGATGTGGTACTGGGGGAGGGATTTCACTTATTTGACACACTGCTCTTATGATTTGACTTATTTCTACAAGGAGCTATAGGTTACTTCTGTAACTTACAAAATTAGAAGAGAGAATTTTTTTTTAAAGATTTTACTTATTTATTTGATACAGAGAGAGAGATAGCGAGAGCAGGAACATAAGCAGGGGGAGCTGGAGAGGGAGAAGCAGGCTTCCCGCGGAGCAGGGAGCCCGACGCGGGGCTCCATCCCAGGACCCTGGGATCATGACCTGAGCCGAAGGCAGATGCTTAACGACTGAGCCACCCAGGCGCCTTAGAAGAGAGAATTTAACATTCAAGTGATACATGTTCATTAGAAGGAAAACTCTAGAAAAGAGACTTTAGAAACATAGCCTTTGGCTACACTGAGCTGGGGGCGGGGTGGGGTAAAGGGGAGGGGCGGTGGGACGGGCCATGTGGGAGGGACGAAGGATGCTCCGGGAAAGTACAGCGGGTCCTCTGCTCTGGACATGGGGGAGGAGAGCTATGGATGAGGGGACCCCAGAAATCAGCTCATCCCGACCGCCCCCCCTTTACTGAGGAGGAGACAGGAGACGGTGAGTGGCTTCCCCAAGAACACACAGCACATGAGTGGCAGACCCCAGGCCTCGTGACTGCCGGGCTGGTGTGGTTTCAACCGCCCCAAGCTGCCTTGCAGATGAGAGATGTGGCTACCGAGAGGCACAGAGACCTCCTCGTTTATCTCTTCATGGGATTATACACACACGTGGCCATTCCTTCGCTTCCCTCAACAAATACTTGCACTTTGGAGGGCTCCCTGGACAGATGCTCCAGAGGCACAGCCGTGGGCCTGACTATCATGCAGGTGTAGAGGGGAGTCAGACAGACAGACGAGGCCTTACTAGACAGGCTGGCTGGTGTGACAGTGACTGAGGCCAGAGGCCCAGGGAAGCCCAGGCCTGCGGGTCAGTGGGCAGTGGCAAAGATTTAGCAGGAATGGCAGCATTGGATCGCTGTCTTGGGAAGGTCACACCGGCCGCTAGGTAGAGAATGGACAGGCAGGCAGGGAAACCACTGGGAGGCTGGCCATCCTGCGTGTGACAGGAAGGGGCAGGAGAGGACGTGAGGACGATTTCGGGGGTGGGAGGGTTAGCCCACTGGGTGAGGTATCTGGTTGAAGGGGTTGCGGAGGCAGGAGTCCAGGATGATGCTGGGCCCCTTGGAGATGGGTTGCCCTGTGGGAGATGAGAGGCGTGGCAGGCAGGGAGGCGAACTTAGTAGACCTCCTGAGTTTGAGGTTGGTGGCCACTGGGGACCCAACTGGAGCATTCAGGCAGAGTTGGCTGGGGGCCTGGGGTCACTGGAGAGGATGGGGCTGGGGCCAGAGACCCTGGGAGTCTCAGCTTAGAGAGGTGGCCCCGAAAGCCTCAGAGCGGACATTACTACCCAGGGGGCAGCAGAGGGCAGGGAGCTGGTGTGGGACGTGGCCACCAGGCTGGTTCCAGCAGCCTTGTTTCGGCGGCGGGGAGGAGTTCTGGAACTGCTGTTGCTGCTGGAGCCACCCTCCCCCCAACTCCGAGCCCTGCAGAATCCGGGGTAGAATGTGCTCCTAGCGAACCCCCAAAGTGGGGCCAGAGTGTTGACTTGCCTCACTTGCCCAGACATGACCACGCAGGGTCTTCGCCCCCTCGCCTCTTTGATGTCGGAGCCTTGAAGTCGGCCTCTGGATTCTTGGCTTGGCCCCCCTGCCCCGCCGGATCCTACAAAATGGGGTCACTGCCACCATCCCCACTTAGGGGTTCTTACCCATTCTAGGATGTTGTCTCTGTCCCCTGGCCCTCCTCTTGTATTCTTTCGGAGAGTCTTCTCCCAGCCCTGACTGTGGGCCTTGCCTCATCCGGGCACCCAGAGCAGCCAGCACCGTCCTTCCTCTGCCCCTTCCTCCCGGCGGTGTCCCAGGGCCTGGGCTCTGTGCACGCATTGGAACAAGGGTAGGGAGTCGGTGCCAAGTGGAACATGAGGGCCCCCTGCCCTCAGGAAAGTGCTCCACGACAGGGCCAGCAGCCCCAGACCCCAAGTGGGAGCCTGGGGCCAGGCTGGCATGACCCAGTCCAGAAAGCTTCTCGGGGGGGGAGCAGAGGAGAAGAGATCTCCCCAGGTCCCACCAGACCTCACAGGCATGTCCGTG